ATAATGGCAAACCGAATTCAGCAACACATCAAAAAGATTATTCACCACGACCAAGTAGGCTTCATCCCAGGGATGCAGGGGTGGTTCAACATACGAAAATCAATAAACGTAATAAACCACATTAACAGAAGCAAAGACAAAAACCACTTGATCATCTCAATAGATGCAGAAAAAGCCTTTGATAAGATCCAACACATTTCATGATAAAAGCTCTAAGAAAACTAGGAATAGAAGGAAAGTTCCTCAACATTATAAAAGCTATATATGACAAACCTACAGCCAGCATTATACTTAACGGAGAAAAATTAAAACCATTCCCTCTAAAATCAGGAACCAGACAAGGATGCCCACTATCTCCACTCCTATTCAACATAGTACTGGAATTCCTAGCCAGAGCAATTAGGCAAGAAGAAGGAATAAAAGGAATACAAATAGGTAAAGAAACTGTCAAAATATCCCTATTTGCAGACGACATGATCCTATACCTTAAAGACCCAAAAAACTCTACTCAGAAGCTTCTAGACATCATCAATAGCTATAGCAAGGTAGCAGGATATAAAATCAACATAGAAAAATCATTAGCATTTCTATACACTAACAATGAGCAAACTGAAAAAGAATGTATGAAAACAATTCCATTTACAATAGCCTCAAAAAAAATCAAATACCTAGGTGTAAACCTAACAAAAGATGTGAAAGACCTCTACAAGGAAAACTATACACTTCTGAAGAAAGAGATTGAGGAAGACTATAGAAAGTGGAGAGATCTCCCATGCTCATGGATTGGTAGAATCAACATAGTAAAAATGTCGATACTCCCAAAGTAATCTACATGTTTAATGCAATTCCCATCAAAATTCCAATGACATTCATTAAAGAGATTGAAAAATCTACTGTTAAATTTATATGGAAACACAAGAGGCCACGAATAGCCAAGGCAATACTCAGTCAAAAGAACAATGCAGGAGGTATCACAATACCTGACTTCAAACTATATTACAAAGCAATAACAATAAAAACAGCATGGTACTGGCACAAAAACAGACATGAAGACCAGTGGAACAGAATAGAGGATCCAGATATGAAGCCACACAACTATAAGCAACTTATCTTTGACAAAGGAGCTAAAAATATACGATGGAGAAATAGCAGCCTCTTCAACAAAAACTGCTGGGAAAACTGGTTAGCAGTCTGCAAAAAACTGAAACTAGATCCATGTATATCACCCTATACCAAGATTAACTCAAAATGGATCAAGGATCTTAATATCAGACCCCAAACTCTTAAGTTGATACAAGAAAGAGTAGGAAATACTCTGGAGTTAGTAGGTATAGGTAAGAACTTTCTCAATGAAACCCCAGCAGCACAGCAACTAAGAGATAGCATAGATAAATGGGACCTCATAAAACTAAAAAGCTTCTGTTCATCAAAAGAAATGGTCTCTAAACTGAAGAGAACACCCACAGAGTGGGAGAAAATATTTGCCAACTATACATCAGACAAAGGACTGATAACCAGAATATACAGGGAACTTAAAAAACTAAATTCTCCCAAAACTAATGAACCAATAAAGAAATGGGCATGTGAACTAAACAGAACTTTCTCAAAAGAAGAAATTCAAATGGCCAGAAAACACATGAAAAAATGCTCACCATCTCTAGCAATAAAGGAAATGCAAATTAAAACCACACTAAGATTCCACCTCACCCCTGTTAGAATAGCCATCATCAGCAACACCACCAACAACAGGTGTTGGCGAGGATGCGGGAAAAAGGAACCCTCTTACACTGTTGGTGGGAATGTAGACTAGTACAACCACTCTGGAAAAAAATTTGGAGGCTACTTAAAAAGCTGGACATCGATCTACCATTTGATCCAGCAATACCACTCTTGGGGATATACCCAAAAGACTGTTACTCCAGAGGCACCTGCACATCCATGTTTATTGCGGCACTATTCACAATAGCCAAGTTATGGAAACAGCCAAGATGCCCCACACTGACGAATGGATTAAGAAAATGTGGTATCTATACACAATGGAATTTTATGCAGCCATGAAGAAGAACGAAATGTTATCATTCGCTGGTAAATGGATGGAATTGGAGAACATCATTCTGAGTGAGGTTAGCCTGGCCAAAAGACCAAAAATCGTATGTTCTCCCATATGTGGACATTAGATCAAGGGCAAACACAACAAGGGGATTGGACTATGAGCACATGATAAAAGCGAGAGCACACAAGGGAGGGTGAGGATAGGTAAGACACCTAAAAACTAGCTAGCATTTGTTGCCCTTAACGCAGAGAAACTAAAGCAGATACCTTAAAGCAACTGAGGCCAATAGGAAAAGGGGACCAGGAACTAGAGAAAAGAGTTAGATCAAAAAGAATTAACCTAGAAGGTAACACCCATGTACAGGAAATCAATGTGAGTCAATGCCCTGTATAGCTATCCTTATCTCAACCAGCAAAACCCCCTTGTTCCTTCCTATTATTGCTTATACTCTCTCTACAACAAAATTAGAAATAAGGGCAAAATAGTTTCTGCTGAGTATTGAGGGGGGGGGAGAGGGAGGGGGTGGAGTGGGTGGTAAGGGAGGGGGTGGGGGCAGTGGGGAGAAATGAACCAATCCTTGTATGCACATATGAATAATAAAAGAAAAATGAAAAAATAAAAATAAAAAAAATAAAAAAATAAAAAAAAGAAAGTCCTACCCAGAATCCCTGACTCTAGCCATTCTGCAGACCACAGTCATATCTGTTGCCTTCTGATCATGTCATTCATCTCATCTCAAACTCCTACACTGTCCAAGGAATAAGTTCCATACTTCTAACAATGGGAGGCTCTCAGCTGCCTACCCAATCTATTTCTTGGTCTTGTGTTCCCTACTTCACTAATATGCCCTCCACTTTGGGTCAACAGAACCAGAAACGTAGTGTAGCGCTAGTCATTTTTTTTTGAGACAGCTTTTCAATATGTAGTCCAGGCTGGCCTGGAACTCACCACACTCCTGCCTCAACCTCTTGAATGCTGGGATTACAGGCATACACCACCATGCCTAGCTCAGGTGGCTGTTTTAGTAATAGCAAAATCTGGTACCATGACCTTCCATAAAATGTTTGTCCTCTCAAATCTTGGATTTCTTTTCTGCAAAATAAGAAAGCTAGACAAGTCCTACTTTTAAAGCTACATGGACTACGATCCATAGTAAGAAGTACACACTGGGTGTGGTGGTACAGGCCTCAGCACTCAGGAGGCTGAGGTAGGAACATAGCGAGTTCAAGGCCAGTGTGGGCTACATAGTGATACAAATGTCCTAAGTAACATTGATATATATATATTTTTAGCCCTTGTTTTTACATTAAGTTACTTGATAGCAGAAATCATGACTTCTATGTCTTTTCATACTTCTTTGCATTTCACTGTGTTTGTCTGTGAGTCACTCAATCCAGATAATCTGTCTTTCTCACAGTTATTCTTTCTGCCACTGTCCTTTTATTTAATCAGCATCTCTAGTTCCTTGACTCTTCCAGACTCTCCTTAGCAGCCTCCTTGTCTTCACTTCCTATCCGAAGGTTAGACGTAGTCAGAAGCCACAAACCATCACTTAACCTCTCCTAACAATCTCCTCTCTTGTTCAACTGTCTTTTCTTCCCACATGTCTAGCAAAACTCCACCTCTGAACCAATCCAAATGTCTACTTTCTAATTAACTATTCAAATTGTTAAGCACTGCTGGGAGCCGGTGGCTCACATCTGTTATCCTAGCTACTTGGGAGGCTGATCAGGAGGATGATGGTTCGAAGACAGACCAGACAGAGTTTGTAAGATACCATCTCCAAAATAACCAAGCAAAATGGACTAGAGGTGTGGCTTGAGCAAAGCATGAAGCCCTGAATTCAAACACCAGTCTCACCAAAAAAAAAAAAAAAAAAAAAATTTATGGTCATACAGATAATATGTTTTTCATTCTTAACAAAGTATGTTTTTAACATGCTCCAGAACATTCCTTCTGGTTTTCCTAGTTAGTTCTCTTCTATTCTCCACACAGCTATTTTTGTGTGTGTGTGTGATGCTAGAGACTGACCCCTGAGCCTTGAGATTGCAAGGCAAGTGCTCTACCAATTAGCTATAGCCCCAGCCCTCACACAGCTCTTTATCTTTCCCTTTCCCTCTCCCTTTCTCCCCACAACTCCTTGCCTTCACACTTTCCTTTCCAAGCCCTTGCATCCAAGATTGGGTTAGATTCCTTTCTATGCAGTCCCACAGTATTCTTACTTACCATGGTCTTACTTTGCTGCTCACTGCCCAATAAACTCAAGGAAAATAAGAAACATGACTTCATTATTGAAACCCCAAAACTCAATGTAGCACTAAGTTCTCAATAGTTCTTGAATGAGTGAATAAATGAATATATAAATATTTGTTAAATGAATAACTACAGCACACACAAATCTCATGTGGTTATTTTAAGAGTCAATCGATTAATGCCAATAAAACCTTAGGGAATGAAAAGCATGAAAAATAAATGGTTTCTAAAATTTATAACAGATGTAGTACTACAGCTAGTTGAGAGTTTATTATTATTTCTATTCTAATGACAGGGAAAATGGAATTTAATCCCAAACGTATTAATAGGATCTGCTAGGATAAGCAAAGCAAACTTTACTATAGCTCACAGTAGTCTGCCATGAAGAAGGTATTTATTTTACAAGGGCCTTGCTTCCTTTCTTTCAATTTAATATAATTCTTTTTAATTGGTTTATATATCTAAAGACACATTTGCCTGATGGCAATGACGGACAGATTCAGGCTGCCCAGAAGACAGCTAGACGTTGTTCCCTAACTTGAGAGGAACTCTTTTTCCTAATTTCTCTCTAAAAGTGCCAGTGATGCCCATCCTCTTGTTTCGTGTCATGGAATTTTGCCTTATCATGGCAGTCCATTTGAAAATTCTCCCGCTGTATGCAGGGCAACAGAGAGCCTGGTCCTTAAATACTCACCCTGACGTTGTGAGGATGAAGCCCTCCCGGATGCTGATGTATGTACTGAGCCAGGTCTGAGTGCTAAATGGAAGCAAAGAAAGAGAGGACAGAGGCAAAGTCAGTGGTGTCCCTCCGAGTGGAACCGGAGACCTGATGCGGGCTACATACAACACCGGCGGAGGCTTTTTTTAGACTAAGGTGTAAAAGAGCATCACCAGGCTTTCTGAGCCCCCACTGTCAAGGTCAAATACAGAGTGTCTTTCTTATGGCGCTAATTAGAAGGAAAACCTGTTTTGCTTGGCACAATAGAGAGGCCCATTTTAAAACAAACTGGCACGGAATAAACACAGGAAGTGTTTACTCTCCAAGTGTCCTTGGAGGCAAATCAAGTGCACATACCTTATGATCTCTTTCTGCCTAATTGAATCTTTTTTCCTTTTAAAAATATAAAATGAGTTATTCTTTAGTAAGCTTGCACACAATTTTTAAATATCTTGTGACATATCTTCATTGTCAATGAAAACAAAATTGGGATTCTGCTTAGATTTGGCTAAAAATAGGCTTTAAAAAGTACAAACATTTTGTGTAGGAAGCAAATTCAAAATCCTAGTTTACTGATCTGGCAGAGTGGCTCAAGTGGTAGAATGCCTGCCTAGCAAGCATGAGGCCCTGAGTTCAATCCAAAAAAAAAAAAAAAATTCTAGATTATTATTGATGGCAATGGGGAAATTGCCAGAAAAATAGTGGGTAATGCTGGGTGCCAATGGCTCACGATTATAATCCTAGCTACTCAGGAGGCAGGCATCAGGAGGTTCAAAGCCAGCCCAGGCAAATAGTTCTTGAGACCCTATCTCGAAAAAATCCATCACAAAAAAAGGGCTGATGGAGTGGCTCAAGGTTGTAGGCCCTGAGTTCAAACTCCAGCACCCCCCCACACACACACACAAAATAGTGGGTAAAGCCAGGTGTGATGGCTCGCACCTGTAATCCTAAGCTACATTGGGAGGTATGAGATCAGGAGATAAATGTTTGAGGGCCAGCCCACGGCAATAGTTGAAAGATCCCCATCTCCAAAAATAACCAGAGCAAAATGGACTAGAGGTGAGGCTGAAGTGTAAAAGTACAGAATTTACCAGGCCTGCTTTGCAAGTGAAAGCCCTGAGTCAAAACCCAGTCCCATGAAAAAATAAAAAAGTAAACAAAATAGGTGGACCAAGAGGTGGAATAAGAGAAGTAAGGCTATAACTAATCCAATGATGAAAATTTCAATGATACCTTCTGCTAATGAAAGTTTTATCATGCCATAAGATACTAAGGGATTATCATACAAGCACCAGGTTTGTAAAATGCCTGAGAACTCACCATGTATTCAAAAACAAATGTCAATCGTCTCTTTGGTGTGAACTATGTCATGCAGGAGCAATATGTTGGCGTGCTTTCAAACCTTCAGGAGAGAAGCTGGAAAGATTAATGAAATGTTAAATCAATCACTGATAATGAAAGTGACTCTTTAAAGCTATTAAGTAGTACTTCATTTTTAAACATTTCAAATCAACCATTCTGGTGTTTTACAGCTAAAATAAATCTCTCTGGAAAGAATGTTTAATAATGGCAAAGGAACTTCATTATTTAAAAAATAGTGAATCATTGAATTTATACAACTTATTGTTCTTACAGGCTAGAGTGGTAGCAAAAAAAAAAAAAGGTTCAATTTATTCTAATCAAATTTAATTATCAAATGCACCAGAGCAATTTGTGAATGTCTCTCCTGAGACTCTCACCATCCTACTTCGTAAGCTATAGGAGAGGGGGCCCTGGAGACAAAAAAGGCCAATCAGAAGGTGCCGGAAAAGTGTTCTGCCTTCTAGAGCAGTACTCTGCAACACGTGGCCAGGCTGCAAAATAACAAAACCAAACCAAAGGCAAAGTCCCACCAGGGGTCAACAGAGCTGGTGGATGTGATTGGTTGGAGGTAGGGATAAAAGCGTGGGGTAAAAAACTGTAGAAACCTAATTGAGAATGGAGAGGTTCTTTCCAGGAATGTTTGCAGACTCCACAGGCAGCAGAAAATGCAAAGCTGAAAAAGAGGAGAAGGCCAAAACCCTGCGCGGATCCAGAGAAGCGAAAGTGCTGAACACTGTCCCTCTTGCCTATCATAACAAGTTATATTAGGTTTACAAGGCAGCACAATTTGTTTTGTTTATTTGTTTCAGCAGTGCTGGGAGACCAAGCCCAGGGCCTTCACCGTCATGCAGGCTAGGTAAGAGCTTTGCCAGCACTGGCAGGTCCTAAATACAGTCCTTAAAAGTAGAAAAGTCACCAAAGGATAGGAGTGGGAAAAGGTTTGAAAGACTGTCCTTAGGGGGTCCACAGGTAGAAAGACTCCTGGTTTCATAAGGAAACCAAAAAAAGGAATGATAAGGACAGCATGAAGGGTATCTTTAAGACTTAAAAGAAAGGAAAAGCTAAGTATAAAAACTCAAATCAGGCCAGGCACTGGTGGCTCATGCCTGTAATCCTAGCTACTCAGGAGGCAAAGATCAAGAGGATGGAGGTTCAAGGCCAGCCTCAGGCAAATAGTTCACAAGACCCCCATCTCAAAAACACCCAACACACACCACACACACACACACACACACACACACACCCACACATCACACATCACACCACACATGGCTATCAGCAATGTTAAGTGCAGAAGGCACTTCTGCCTAGCAGGCTTGAACCCTTGAGTTCAAACCCCAGTACTGCCAAAAAAAAAAAAAAACCAAACTCAAATCAGTCAAATCAGTGTTCTGTAGACTATGCCTTCATTTCTATATTTTGTGGATCTCTTGCACCAACTCTATCTCAGTGTAGAATTCCAACCTTGTGCCACGATCAGCCAAGAGTAAGCATATAATTTATTAAGCCTATTTATTGAGTGTCTTATGAAAGAACTGTCTGTGGAGTCAGGAGCCCTAAACATGAATCCTGGCCCTGTCACTTTCTATCTGAGAAAACTCTAGAGAATTTTTCAATCCAGGTCCCAATTCATTCCTTTTGCAAAGCAATACCATCTTTCCTGACTTTACTTCATAATGCCAATGTGAGGATGGAATCGGACACCATTCATAGAACCTTCAGTAAAGGGAAATCACGTAACAGATGTAAATTTGAATTACTATCCTCACATCAACTTCTTGCTCCCTCTTTACCTGCACATTTAAGCCCCTCCGTCTATAAGTCTTGTTTACGGTAGTATGTTTCTCTGGGAGTTTCAACACTTTCCATAGGTACAATAATGACTTCTGACCACGAGTTGAGAATGTTTATATTTTATGTGTATTTTTATATATAAATTACTTCTTGATTTCTCTTTCTCTGTTTACCTGTTATCCCTCACCACCCCCACACATGCTCAATACTACACCCAGCATATATCAAAGTTTAGATTTTGGGGGCCGGGGGACATAGCTTGAGAGTAGAGTACTTGCCTATCATGCTTCAAAGGCCCTTGCACTTGCCTGATTCCCAGCAACCACACACACACAACACACACACACATATGACGTTTTTAAAGAATACTGGCAAGACAAATTGGTAAGAATATTAAGCAATTTTAAATACAATTTTTAGTCTCTACTTAAATATATACTTCAAAAACTTCCTTATGGTTATTTAGAATAATCATAAACATGGTTTTATTAACATGAATGCCTCTGGAATACAATTTGCTAAAAAACTTAAGAACAATTATTCTACTTGGATGAGGTTTACTGCTAACAACAAAAAGTTTGTATAAATTTTACTTCTTGTATTTCTCTTGATAATTCAGTTTTGTAGGAAACCGTGGCCCATTTTGGGCCCGACTTTTTCCCATTGTTCGCTTACACTACTATTATTAGTCACAGTGTCTCTCCGTTCACAGAAATAGGTTTAAAAAGCATTTCATCCATTTTATGCAGGCTCAGCACTGTAGGAAATGTCAACTCCTCACCCAATCCACCTGCTTATCTCTTAGCAATACCTTCAAAGCATGTCTAGAACCCTCACTTCTGCCCATATCCTAGCCCACCCGATGCTGGGCCGCCAAGCCACAGCCTATCTTGGACTTGAATTGCCTGCAACATGTCCCCCCCGCCTAGTCTCCTCTTCTTCTTTCCTTCCTGCAGTCTCTTCTCCACACAACACCAGCCACTGCCTCCTTCTCCAGTCAAGGTCAGGGTAGGTCCCTCCTGGTTCCAAAAATCCTGCAGTGACCTCTCATCTCACTCAGCAAAATCCAACCTTCTCAGGCCCTGCCCCATTAAGCTGTGCCCCATCATTACCTGACATCTCCTATTCCCACCCTTGCTCTCTGGGCTCTAGCCATATTGGCCTCCTGGCAGTTCCTTGGACACTCGCAAACTCAATTTCTCTCTGCAGTCTTATATTTGCCATTGCTCTGCCTGTAACCCGCTTTTCTGGGCTCTTTGCCTGCCTCTCCCTCACTTCCTTCAGGACTGCTCAAATGCTACCTATAAGGTCTAGTTTCCTTGTCTACTCCCAATGAAACAGCAGCCCTCCACCCCCATCCCTCCCCAGTGGGCCTCTATAGACCCTGCTTTTATTCTTTCCCATAGTACATATCACCACCTGACATAAAATACATACATATATATATATACATATATATATATGTATGTATATATATATGTATATGTATATATATATATATATGTGCTTATTGTCTGCCTTCCCCTAAGAATAAAAATTGCACTAAGAGTGAACACTTTTGTCTTTTTTGCTTATTGCTCTATCCTCAATGCCTAGAACAGTGTCTGATATATTATGAACACTCAATAAATACTTACTGTTGAATTTATGGTGACTACTTATGTTGTTTCATTTATATACTGAGGGTTGGTTGGCAGATGGTGCTTCTGTTGAAGATATTTGTATTCCTTGTTTCTTTTAGTCACTTCCTTCAATTAGATTATAAATGTTCTGTTTTATGACCACGTTTATTACTGCTTTTCTATTGCTCCAGGACTACTAAAATAGCTGTATGGAAACTGTGAATTTTACTAAGTAATTAATAGGGAATTCTCATGAAAGGGATGATTTTTAAAGCCCTTATATATCATGGCAGTATTGGTGATGGTTTGGTCCATCCACCAGGGGCTCTAAAATACCCTTAGCCTCATATGTGTGGCTCTTAAATCCAGGATGGAAAAGTCTTTCTTTTAATTTCCAGGACATCTCATAATCTTTACAGTAGGATATGGTGTTTGTTTTGTAGACTAAACAGGTTAGGGATGCAAAAGTCAACTGAGAAGAGGAAAGAGATCCTGAAATTAGCATTCTGATTATGGTAAAATTATTGTTTTCATAATTCACATATGTCAAGTATACTTATTTTTGTTTTCTTCAAAGAAAAGATGCAAAGGTAAATTGGGGGGGCATTCATCCCATGGTCTTGCACATGCAAAGCACCTGCTCTGCCACTGATCTAAACCCTGCTTCTAAAAAAATTTTATAGTAATGATGATCAGAGCAAATACTCACTGAGTACTTAAGAAATACCAGGCATTGTTGTAAAAATTTCAAATACATTAACTTGTTACGATCATAAAAACACCAGAAAGTCAGACGAAACATGAAGAAAACAACATAATCCAAAAGATCAGGAAAAATGATCCATGACTGGTCTTTATTCAGTTCATCAGTTCTCTAATACTTTAGATGTAATAATATCATATGTGAGGTATTTAATAATTTAGGGAAAATTTTTCATCTCACAGGATATAAGAATATTTAATTTCTTGATTTTCTTCATTTCAGTGGGATTTGTGGTTGAGTGAAGTTTTAGGAAAGTTGATGGTTTACTACTGCAATGGCTCATGGCGTCTTGATGTTTCTCTACCTTGTTCTCCTTTAGTTCAGGAGAAACTGTAAAAGATGATGACGACAAGGAAGAACAGGGCTGTCTCTCAAGTCCTCGGGCATATCTGTACGTAGTGGCTGCCTGGTAATCAAAGTTCTCTCGAACCTGTCCCTCTCTTTGCATTTCTAGTACTAGCACAGGCCTAGCATGTGGTGCTTAAAAAATGCTTGTGAAGCCAGGTGACGGTGGCTCACACCTGTAATCCTACCTACTTGGGAGGCTGAGATGGGGAAGATCACAGTTTGAGGCCAGCCCAAACAGTTTAAGAGACCCCCATCTCCAAAATAAATGGTGTAGAGCAAGATGGACTGTCTCAAGCAGTAGAGCATCTGCTTTGCAAGTGCAATGCTCTAAGTCCCACCAAAAAAAAAAAAAAAAAAAAAGCTTGTGAATCAATGAAAACCGCCCACTTGTAATGAGCTTCTGCAGGAGTCAATAATGCAGCCCACCCCAACCCCATTATCCACTGAGCAAAAAAGAGTTTACAGTTCCTGATGCTATGTTTTCTCTAACTTGGGAGCCATAAGTCAAGTCAATGAGTCAGGTTATGCATCCCAAGGAAAGATATAATCTAGATAAATATTCAATAAATACTAAGACAAATGCTGAGTAAGTGGTTACGATAATTTTTGGAATTGTAATCCCCATGGTGTGTGATCATCCTGACATTGTTTTTATAGAGATTCAAGGGAATATTCTGTCCTTGATGTGACTTGATTGCATTCAATGGCAGACTTCTTGTCATCCAGGACTGCCTTAGTCTATTTGTGGTAACAGGTGACTCAGATTCTAATCAGATTCTTCCTTGGTCTCTAATGACCTAAGCAAGTTTCCTTAGTCTATTTTTAGCTCAATTTTCTCATATATGGATTGGAAACAATTGCTTTGCAATGTTTTCTACTAGTGAATGATCTTAGAAGATTCTCAGCTGAAATTATTCCTAATTTAAATACTGCAGCTACTGGTGGGATAGAATCAATGATAGTTGCTGAACATACAATATTATATATTATTTTCTTTAAAATGTGTCTTCTGCATTTTTCTTAATGTTTATCCAGAATGCATCATAAAAACAGATTTCTATTTTTACTCTTGCTAAAACGGAAAAGCTTAAATTAAGCACGTACAAATTATATACTAAAGTAGAAAGAATTTTAATAGAAGTGATACAGATTCTAATACTTAAAAACTTTGATTACAGACTGGAGGTGTGGCTCAAGCAATAGAGTGCCTGCTTTGCAAGCCTGAAGCCCTGAGTTCAAACCCCAGCCCCACCAAAAAAAATTTTTTTTTTTAAATTTTTAAATAGAGCTTTGATTTCTAGCTCTATGGCCTCAAAGTACCTAACCTCTCTGAGTCTCAGATTCCTTCATTTCTACAACAAAAATAACACATTTTATTCCTGAGAGTCAGAGTATGGGATTAAAAAAAGATAGTAAGAGAGGGTATGTCATATGCCTGAGTCTCAAAAAAAGGTTAGTTATTATGACTGCATCCTAAGAAAATACTTGGCTAAAGATCCTTCATTTAATCCAAAAGTTGACTGTTTTTAGATAGATATTTAAAATAAGGCACATTAAGATATTGATATAGAGGATAATAAAAACTAAGAAACATTCTTATATAAAACCATAAAAAATAACATATTCACATGAAAGTATTTTCTTCTAGCTATAAAAATAAACATTTGAAATATAATTCTGAGCCAATTGTGAAAGATTTTCTGGGTTGCCATGAAGGCCTCTGATCCTTTTAATTAGCAAAAGAATGAGGGAGAAGGAAATATGCCAGCTTTGTGCACTGCTGTGTATCCAGCAGTTAGAAGAGTACCTGGTTATGATAGATATTCAGTAAATATTTGTAGCATGAATGCATACAAAATTATGGATATTTAAACCAGAGAGAGTTGGTTTAAAAGATTCCTATATAGTAGAATACAAATATCTATCTCTAACAGTTGTTAAGAGAATTGAAAGAGGTATAAAAAGGACTTAGCACATGTATTAAGATATTAACATATTGAGATGTGGCTTGAGTGGTAGAGGACCTGCTTAGCAAGCATGAGGCCCTAAGTTCAAACCCCAATACTGCATCTCCCTTACTGCTGCTCATATTTTTGCTAATTTCATCATATTATATATTAAGATCAAATGAAAACAGTTAGTACTCCAAATGACTACACTCATCAACAACTACATGTAATCTACCTATTGAGAGGCAGTACATGAAACAAGATCCTACTCACTAAATCTCAGGCTGCCAAGCCATCAAAACAGCCAAACTGCTCAGGAAAAGTAATTCCTGCTTCAAGGCTTTCTGAAGAAGGCTGCATTACTCGATCGGTTTTTCTGCACGTGGCTTTCAGTTGCCTTTTTAGCTAGTGACCCTGGATTTTAACTAATGAACTCCAGCTGTTCTTATTTTGCTTCCAGCCCTTCTAATTTAACCTCCTGTATCCCTGATCTCACATCCTTAGAGTTCTTACAGGAAAAATGGGACGGTGCCAAAGTTCGCAATGAGGCCTCCCATCTTCTAGAGCAGAGAGGGCCTCTCTAACAAGGCTCCAAGCTTTTACACTGATGGAAAAAGAAACATTCATTGTTGGAAACTGGAAGCCTAACAACCTCCCATGTGTCAAAAATCCTTTTGTGGTTTTTAATATTATACAAGCAAAGCTTTCAGTAAGGGAAGTCCATAAAACAAACCAAGAAAGTCCACAGTTAAATGCTAATTGTAAACACCTGTGCTGGAGAGGCAGCTCCTTGGTAAATATGCAATGACAGAAACATTTAGCATGCAGAACAATACAGAGCCAGACTTTCTGATGCATGCTGAGAACCATATGTTAGCCAAATCTGCAAAAAGATTTCACTGTTACCATCAAATGTGGGCCTGAAACACTTGGCTATGGGAAAAAGCTGAGCAAAGCCAGCCTTAAGCAATTGGCATATTCACCACCTAGGAAATGAGGCGAGCTGAGCCCAGATACCCTCCTTTTAGGTGGGTGACCTGGGCATTTCTACTGTGTTCAGCAGTCCTAAAGAATCTACCTACACATCTCTGTCCAAATGTGATCATCCTTTCCTGGGGCCATCAGTAAATCATAAGCACATCAGTAAATGCAGTTTCCATTATATTGAACACTTAAAACCATGTGTTCCCCCAGAATGCACCTGATCCTACCAGAATGAGTCCCCAGCTAAACTGATAGTCATTTGGCCCTTCTACTTTAGTTTAAAATGATATATTCCCCAGGGGCACTGACTTTTGAAAATGGCATCAAATTCAGTTATAAACTCATTTTCTGAATTGCTTTTTCCATGTTTCTTTACAGAACCCATCCTTCCAAGCTCAGTTTAAAATCTAACTCCATTAGCCATACTGGATCTCAGTCCCTTCTTAGTTTGCAATGCCTTTTCTACACTTATTCCTTGAACAATCTGCCCTGTTAACACTGAAAACAACAAAAGAAAGATAGGGGCTTTCTCTTCTTATTCTTCACAACACTTAGCAATATGCTTTGTTTATAGTATGAACTCAGGAAAGTGGGGAGATTAAAAGGTTAAAGGGGAAGAAAGTAGGCCAGGGAATGTAATTTCTGTGGGAAGGTTTTTTGGTTTGTTTGTTTTGCTGAAATGGATAGTAATCTCGTCATCATTTCAAGTAGCTCATGAAAAAAGTTGACAAATTGCATTTTTAATGATTTCACTATGTTCCATTTTCAATTTTATAATATAAATTATTGGTTCTCTCTATGGTCAGTAAGATATCACTAAGGGAAATAAACAAGAATGTAATAAGAATTGACATTTGTTAAAATCTGAAAACAGATTCTGGTAAGTGCCTTGTATACATATTCTCATTTATTTCTTATAACTCCATGAAATATGTGCTATTTTATCCCCTTTATGAAATATGGACTTAAATAAGTGATCTAGCTCACATCACACCATTAGTAATTGATAGACCTACAAGGCAAACCCAAATCCATCCAAACCTACTTGGCTATACTGTCCCAGTAACAAACAAAAAAAGGCACAACGTGAAAAGCCCATGCTTTCCTGAAGAGTTTTATGAGTACTATCAGAAAAACATGCTGCCAGGTGTGGTGGTACATCCTGTAATCCCAGCACTCGGGAAACTGAGGCAGGAGGATTGTGAGTTCCTGGTCAGCCTGGGCTACACAGTGAGACCTGTCTCAAAAGAACCAAGCCAATCCAAACCAAACCAAAACAAAACAAAAAAACCCTCCATGCTATATCCAGGCAAATTCCCCACTAATAATTAGCATAATATTTATAATTTTCTCCCTTTAATATGAATTTTTTTGGGTTGTATAGATATAGTTTTAGCACCCAGTATGAAGCCAAATGTTGGAAAGTATTTTGTAAATACTCATTGAGTTCATACTTTTGAACAAGTGATACATAATTTTGATGTCTTTAAGAATAAATAATAGAGTAATACTCTTGGAAAACTGGTATCAAGAATAAATTTGTGGGGGCTGGAGGTGTGGCTCAAGTGGTAGAACAACTGCTTTGCAAAAAGAGTTCAAACCCCAGTCCCACCAAAAAAATTAAATAAATTAAAAAAAAAAAGAATAAAATCTGCCAGCCATGGTGGCAAGTGCCTGTAATCCTAGCACTTGGAAGGGTAAGGCAGGAAGATCATGAGTTCAAGGCCAGCTTGGGCTATATGGCAAGACCCAGCTCAATAAATGAAATAAAATAGATAAGATAAAATAAAATAGTAAAAATAATGTTACTTCTAGAAATACCAGAAACCAGATACTGAACAGACTGGACGAATTTTTTTTAACCAAATCAAGGAATCAAAACATCTGTTGGATCCATTCTCTTGGTCTTACCTTCCCTGATAGCTGTGAATGGGACTCCTTCCTCTGCATTCATGCTGATGACTTTTAAAGCCACTAATTGTCCATTGATCCTAGAAAAAAGGTAGGAGGTATAGCACACACTTATTGAGATGGCTCAAAATAACAATTTATACTAAAGATGGCTTAACAAAAAGAGTTTTCCTAAGAAATGTGTTCCACTATATGGATTCACAGTTTTCTTAAAACAAAAGGTTCAATATACATTGTATACATATATATGTATATATATATAATATATATAATACATACATGTGTCTTATATATATTTCAAAATATTTTTCTCTTTACTAAAGTATGTGTGTTCTTTATAGAAAATTTGAAGAAGCACAGAAAAGACAGAGAAAACATCTCCCTTGGAACATTTTGATGTACATCACTTTTTGTCCCTGTTTGTGCACTATTTAAGACAACCTTATTTTTCACCTGACTTCTTCTAGTGGCCCCCTAACAGTCTCCCAGCTTGAACACTTATACTCCTGTGTCTGCTTACAACTGGGTGTCAGGGGCATCCTTTTTGTAGTACTGGGGTTTGAACTCAGGGCCTTCACCTTGAGCCACTCCACCACCCCTTTTTTGTAATGGAATTTTTCAAGATAGGGTCTCAAAAAAAAAAGCCTTGGCTAGCTTTGAACCATGATATTCCTGATCACTGCCTCCCGAGTAGCTAGGACTATAGGCGTGAGCCACTGGTGCCTGGCAAGCATGTTGTTTTAATATAGTAGGATTTATAGTATGTTCTTTCTCTCTTTAACATTTTCTCTTATCATTCACTCTTGTAAAATGTGGTATTTTATAATGATTTAATATTTCATCCTACAACTATTCTGCAATGTGTTTATCCAGTTCCACATGCTTATAATTTATTCCTAGTTTTTGACTGTTACTAGAATGACTATGATAAAGGGCTGGGAGCATAGCTTAAGTGGTAGAGCACCTGCCTAGCAAGAATGAGGCCCTGAGTTCAAACCCCAGTACTGCAAAAAACAAGACTAGGATGGGGAAGGTGAAGAGTCACCTTCATCACATCTTGGCTTATGACTTTTAGTGTTGACCTTAGCCCCCTTTCTAAGGTAGCACTTGTCAGGTTTCTCTTCTGTTTTTCAGGACCAATGTCACTATGCGTTGCCTGCACTTAAGGATTGAGTGAAGAATCATCCCCTCGTGGGTAGATTCTCTACATAAACCATTTGGAGTTTTTCTGCATGAAAGATTTATTTATTTTCTCCTATTTATTAATTTATTGAACTATTTATTTATGTCAGTATGGACCCATAGATATTTTAATATTCTTTGGGTTATAATTTAATTCTACTTATTTCTCAAATTTTGACAGTTTCGTCCTTTGGAAGCTCTTTCATTTGGCTCTCATGTTGCTTTGCCAAACCCTCATCATTGTGGGTTTGATTTTTGTTTTTATCTTCACTTTTTGGCCTGTTTTATGGGTAAAAATAATTACCACATTTTAATTTCAGTTTCTTTACTTATAGAACTAACTTTTCATAAGTGTACTATTGCTCTTTTCTATTTTTTTGTGCTTTGCCTATTTTCCCACCTTTTTATTGGAATATTTTGCAAATACTTTTCACCAGTTGCTTTCATTTGCCTTCTCATGTCTTTGAAACCATGAACTCTAAATTTTTATGATGTTCAGTATTTCTCAAAGTGTTTTACTTAAAACATGGTTCTATAAAAATTCTACTTCACTCCCTACCCCCCATTAAAGAAAGGTTTTTTGGTTAAATATGCTTAGACATGCTTTATACTTTCTTCATCTTCTTAATTAATCTTAGATAGCCACACTGTACAATGACATTCTTGAAAAGCTGAAAGTATATAATAGAGGATAGAATCTGATTTTGTTCAAGTGTTGCCCATACTGATTTGACCATAACTATTTTCATGAAGCATCTATTAAGGTGTCTTAGAAGTGGGGCTCTCCGGAACATGTTTGGAGAGACAGGGCACCACAGATACTTGCCATCTTTCTTTATGGGTTCTGACTTGAGTGGTATGCATAGAAACAAGACTTTCCAGCCAAACAGTTACACAGAATTCACTTTTTTTCCTTCTGTTGTATGTTTTCTTTTTTCATTTAACCTTAATCCACTGGATTCATGTTATATATTCACTTTTTCCACATGGCTAACAATTGTCTGAACTCCATTTATTGACTGTCTTCTTTTCCCTGCTGTCCTGCAATGCCACCATGATTATGTATTAGAGTTTACAAATACTTGGATTTGTAACTGTTCTTTGATCTGTCTTTTCTTATACTTGTGCTACATAATTTTAATTATTGTAGGTTAGAATATACAGTCTGCCCTTTGTAACTGTGGGTTCTGCACCTGTGTGTTTAACCAACCACAAATTGAAAATGTCCAGGGGAAAAAATATATCTGTGCTGACCATGTACTGGCTTTTTTTCTTGTCATTCCTCAAGCAATGACAATGATTCACACAGCCTTTATGTTGTATTTGGTTATATACAAATACTATGCCATTTTATACAAGGGACTTGAGCTTCCACAGATTTTGGTGTCTAGAACCAATCCCTCAAGGATTTCAAGGGACCACTCTATTTGAAATACATCAAAACCTCAAAGTTAGAGATTCGCTGTATCTCTATACTATTGAATTTTCTAATGCAGACATCTTATACTTACCACAGTCCCTGGGATAGTCATCATATAAGACCTATGCAATCCCCTGGCACACATACTCCCAGTTCCTCCCACCCCTCATCTCCTTCCAGCCTCTCAATGCCAGGACTGATCTGACTCAAGGATTTTCTTAGTTGTTTTTCCCCTGTCTGGTACTGTCTTCCACTGTCTGCAAACACGGCTCAATCCTCACCTCCATCAGATTCTCTGTCCAAATGCTTCCTTCTCAGTAAGGCCTCCTCTCATCACCTTACTGAAAACTGTGAGGCACCACCCCACTCTGCTTTCCCAACCCTTCTTCCCTATTTCCTTCTTTCCTGTAGCACTTTTTACCCTTTGACAAACTCAGAATTTTACCAATTTGTTTATTATTTATCCCACTCCTACCATATTCTACAGGAGCAGGGATATTTGCCTCTTATTCTCCAAAGTATTCTTATTGGCTAAAAATGTGAATGACACATAGTAAATATCACAGCACAGGAAGTTAATAAATTTCAGTAGAAGGAATGAATGCCTATCTGACACTTTAAGTCTTTTATGTCTCCTAGTAAATCTTTATGTATGTCTCTGCCCATTTTTTAATGCTAATGAACTTTTTTTCTTTTTTTTTTGGTGGTACTGGGGTTTGAACTCAGAGCTTACATGCTCACTAGGCAGGTGCCCTACCACTTAAGCCACACCTCCACCTTTTTTGCTCTGGTTATTTTGGAGATAGGGTCTCGTTTTTTGCCCAGGCCAGCCTGGACTGTGAGTCTCCTATTTTGTGATTTCCGTCATCACTGGCATGATAGGTATATACTACCACACCCAGCTTTTTTCCACTGAGGCTTTTTCCCAGGGCTGTCCTGGAGCTACAGTCCTCCCAATCTCAGACTCCCATATAGTTTAAGATGACAGGAATGTGCTACTGTGCCCAGCTATTATATGGGATGGGGTCTCATGAACTTTTTGCCCTGCTTGATCTAGAACCATGGTCATCCTGGTTCTTGTAGCTAAGATTATAGGCATGAGCCACTGGTTTGTTGCTTTTTGAGATAGGGTCTTGCTATATAATCCAAGCTGGCCTCAAATTCTCCATCCTCCTGCCTCAGCCACCATGCCCAGCTTAATAATCATATTTTTGTGGCTATTGCAAGAGTAATTTTCCAAATGGTTGTTTTTAATACATAAGACAACTTATGCTTTCTTAAAAAGATTTTTTGAGGCAGGATCTTACTATATAACCCAGGCTAACTTGCAATCTTCCTATCTTAGTCTCCCAAGTGCTTAGTTTACAGGTGTGCACCACCACCTTGCTCAATTTAAGCCTTTTTTTTGGGGGGGGGGATACTGGTGTTTGAACTCAGGGCTTCATGCTTTCAAAGCAAGTGCTCTACAACTTGAACCACACATCCAGTCCATTTTGTTATGGTTATTTTAAAGATGGGGTCTCTCAGACTATTTGCCCTGGCTGGCCTCAAACTGTGATCCTCCCAACCTCAGTTTCCAAGTAGCTAGGATTATGGTGTGAACCACCAGAGCCCAGCTTAAGGCAACTTTTTTTTTTTTTTTGGTTTATTGTACATGCTTTATTAAAACGGTACTTGTATTTACAGTATCTGCAGAAAGAGTCCCTTCCATGGCCTCTCACATACACCCAAGACTCACCCACACAGACATCCACACCACGCCCCATGCACCCACACCAGGTGTGGGGGCCACTCCTAAAGTTAGGAGTGGTTAGGGGATAAGAGTTGATTTGTTTTCAATTTTTTGGAAGAGAGAAAAGCATGGGGGAATGCATTTGGCCATTACAATGCTAATTAAGTTGTGTATATTAACAGATATGGCAGTTAACACTGACTGCTCCTTTTACATTCTAGATACACAGAATGACATCAAGTTTATTCCAACTTCAGTTTCAATGCTGCTTGTAGTGACTTCTGAATTCACATAGGGGCTTTCCCTAAAATTAATTCAAGTTTATGGTTATTTTAAAGATGGGGTCTCTCAGACTATTTGCCCTGGCTGGCCTCAAATTGTGATCCTCCCAACCTCAGTTTCCAAGTAGCTAGGATTATGGTGTGAACCACCAGAGCCCAGCTTAAGGCAACTTTTGATACAGTAACTGATCACTTTGTTTTTCTGTGTTACTGTACAGAATCTTAGATGATTCAATCAGGGTTTTTAGGGAGACAATGCTCTAATCCCCAAAAATGATGTTCAGTCTTTTCCCTTTGCATTTAAGATATTTTTAAAAATCAATAACTATTCTTGCCATTTCAAACTTAACAGTTACATAATTTTTGTTTTTGTTTTTGTTTGGGTGGTTCTGGAGTTTGAACTCATGGCCTCACACCTGCTAGGCAGGTGCTGTAACACTTAAGCCACATCTCCAGCAAAACTTTTTTGTTCATATTTTATTTTCTTCATTTTTTTTTTCTGGCAGTATTGGGGATTGAACTGAGGGCATTCTACCACTTCAGTCACACTCCAAGTTCAAACTGAGCAGTAATGTCTCTAGTAGTTAATAAATTAAAAAAATGTGACTTATCCATTTGAAATATTCTACACTATTGCTTCTCAGCCTTTTGGCTAAGATGAAGTGTAGTATCTGTTCTTATCAGTTTAATATCTGATACATTAAAAAAAAGAAATATTCTACACTATAATGAGTTATCATTCTATTTGCATTTTGTTTAGAGTTTTAAAAACTAGAAACCAATGTTGAATTTATCAAATGCCTTTTGACATCTCTCTTTATGGTGCTTTTAAATGTGTTTTTACATTATAAATCTAATGCTTTTGGGGATAGGGAATAAAGTGATAAATTTACAATTGATCTGTGTTTCTCAGTCCCAGTTTTAACCACTAAGGTAACCAATCTCTTGTGTATCTCCAGATGCTTCTGTGTACATACGAATCTAAATATGGATAGTATATCTGAGTGGTTTTTTTCCTAAAAGAGATCATAGGACACATATTGTTTTTATTGCTTTTTTCTCTTAAAATACTGGGCATCTTTTCATATAAGTACATTTATTTCATAGTTTAGATGGCTACACACAATTTCACCTATTTTACCTGGTCCTGCATTAATGAATATTGTGTCCAGGTTTTTATTTACTCTATTATAAATCTTGCTGCAAGCAACACAGCTCTACTTATGTCTCTGTGCACTTGAACAAGTATTTCTTTTCTTTTTTTTTTCAGGGGCGTGGGGACACTGAAGTTAGAACTCAGAGCTTCACGCTTGCAAAGCAGGTGCTCTACTGCTTAAGCCACACCTTCAGTACATTTTGCTCTGGTTATTTTTGGAGCTAGGTCTCAAGAACTATTTGCCCCATCTGGCCTCAAGCCAAGATCCTCCTGATCTCAGCCTTCTGAATAGCTAAGATTAAAGGTGTGAGCCACTGGCACCTAGCTTGAGCGAGTATTTCTAATGTACTTTTCATCCTATTACTAGACTGAGTTCTTTGAATGAAATCTTTCATATTCTCAATTCCTAAAATAATCTACAGATAGAAGTTAATTCCTGATTCTAAACAATATATTTAAAATTGTATTTCCCTTATAGTCTTAACAAGTAAAAATAGTAAGGAATAAATATACAAACTCTAAGATAAATAATAAATATTTAGTTTGTAGTATATTCATATATGTGTATAGATATACACATACATATGCATTTGTTCTGCTTTGTTCTTGAGACAAAGTCTCACTGTATAGTTCAGGCTGGCCTCAAACTCTTGATCCTCCTGCCTTTGCCTCCTGAGTGCTAGGATTACAGGCATGCACCACTATGCCTGGCTTATATTTTTAATTGACATTTGACTACTACTAAGCCATTATTTTTCTTCACTAGAGTAACATAAATGAAAAGGATAGGACCTTCCAACTTTCCCACCCTAACTAAAAGGCATAGAATTCAGTTTCCCAAACTTGGCCTTTGGATATGCAGTGTTTTTATTCTCCCACCATTTTGCACATTTTGCAAGTGTAGAAAATTGAGGTTTTTTTTTTTTTTTCATATCCATACTTTACAGAAACCAAGTTAAATTTCTTCTATGAAGGCCAAGTGAAAGAATAAAGCAGCAAACCCCATAGGTTGAACTGCAAACCTTTGTCATTGTGATAGAAGGAGGGTTAAGAAAAGCTCTCCCGAGACATCTTCCCAACCCGGTCTCCTGCCAGGCAGTGATTGTTCTTTGGGTCAATAGCAGAGAAAGTTTACTTTCTTTGAATGGGATAAAAGAGAAGGAAGGTTGATAAACACTTTAGTGGGCTGGTTTTAACTGGAGCAGAGCAGGTTTGGTTTTCTTTCACAGCTGTTTAAATCATCTGGTCTCTCCCGCTTGGCCCCAAGTATCTTGCTCAGGTCCCAACTGCTGTGAAGTTCTGTGATGTGTCATGTGACTTTATAATGTAAAACTGGGGATGGGGGGAGGTGGGGACGGAACCCCTCATCTCCAAAGTCCCTCCCAGTTGTGAGTCACTCACCTGCTAATTCCCTTGTAAACAGTAGCATAAGAACCTTCACCCAGCTTTTCCAAGTTCAAGTAAGACGAGGGTGCCCCAAAAGGGAGGCTCTTCCTCTGCTTAAAGGGAATGGGGAGGGGTGAGGGGTGGGAAGACAGAAAGGGCAAATTTATTGGTGTTGACTTTCCCGCAGGTGAATCAGACAGAACTGCGGGGCGCTGCGGGAGTGCGCCCCCCTGAAGGTGACAGCCAGCTTCCCGGGCCGCACCCCTCGCCACCCTTCTGGAGTCGGTCATCCCCACTCACCCACGGGGAACCCTGCCGCACATCCTCCTCCTGAAAAGAATCGCTGTTACTCCGTGGCCTTGTACTCTCCAACTTCCCAGCACCGGCAGCCCGAAGTCCCCTGGGGTGAAATGAAGTCATGGAACGTGATGCTTCTTTTAGGTCTGTTAGCTAGAGGAAAAAAAGCGCAGGAATAAAACGCGCCCAAAGTCAAGATTCAGTGGCTGGCAGAAATGTTTTTTCTTCATTTGCCTGATTCGCATTCTTCATGTTTTCTAAGCTTCCTATACCCCACTCCCCAAAGGCACCTTTCTTGAAAGTCAAGCCCTAAAAAAGACCATAACAGCATCAGTTGCTGAAATACTACATTCTGTCTTCTCCTGAACATATGTCTTTAACTGTTAGGTTAACCTAAATCTCCTTGATGGATGCTTTTCCAATTTTTCTGTTTAAATCTCCTCCCCCCTCTCTCTTTCAATATCTCAGCATCTTTTGAATCCACAGCACACCTTCCGATTCTGCAGCTTCCCTTTTTTACTATTCAGCCTTGCAATTGAGTACCTCAGAGATTTCAGAAGAAGAACCAGTTTCTCCACTCCAACTCAAGGGAGTTTCACGCAGAGCAAAGCCAAGGATTATTTTACCTTTGGGTTTACAAGCACATCCCCAAACTTGATAGCTACAGCCATAAATTCTCTATGACTTTAATAGAATTTTCTCTTTATGGGTTTAGACCTACCGCAGAAGAATCAACCCATGATGCAGGAAGGGAAGGTCTGCCTGAACTCCGTGGCTTATCAACAAAGAAAGATGCTGTTCCTGGGCTACAAATACCTCCAATGCAGCCTCCGTGGTCACAGGCCGACTCCTCCAACAGCTGGGTGCCTCGCCTCCCTCTGAACGGTGATAGCAGCCGCATCCAGGCTGCAGCCTCTTTGCACACAGCTCTTGACCCATAATCTTCTAGGTTCAAGGAGAAAACCTGCCCTCTGTCTGTCCTGTCCCTTTCAATGCCTTCCTGCCAGAGGTCAGGCTTTCTTTCAGTGTGGCGCTTTCCTTCATATGACTCGCATGAGGGCTCTGCCTGGAGCAGCCTCCTGACTTCAGCAGTTTCTTCTTATCAATGCAAGGAACTGCACATCAGAACGGGTGCTTGCATTCGTGTGCACAACGAAAACAAGGCAGCTAACACTGGAGAGAATGCAGTTGAGCACAGTGAAGGTTCTTACCCAGCCATAAGTTAGTGCTGTTGGTATACATACTTTTTAATGAATTTGCATTGCTCATCTATGTGAGGATAGTTACATGATATCATTGAGAGTGATGTTGATGTTTATTTGTTTTCCTGGTGTGAAAGTGGACACGCTGAGGAGTATTTTCTTCCCGCCTTTCATCTGAAAGCATTTTGGTTTTCCAACTTGAAAACAAATTTGCAACCTAGCCAATTTTTAATAGTCAAAGAAACCACAGAATCATACAACAGGAAAGAAGATGAAAGTATCTACTCCATCCCTCTGCCTGTCTCCAAGCAACAGTGTATCTCACAGTCCTACACATGCAGCCTTTCACCCCTTTGTTCAAATTCTAAGCAGTGAACACCTATGTTGTTCTTGCTATATGGATAACATGTGGGCCATTGGTGGGGAGGGAGGGGTTTGTGCTGGGCATTGTGGTGCATGCCTGCGATCCTGACACTTGGGAGGGAAAGGCAGGAGGGTGGGAGTCCGAGGCCAGCCTGGGACAACATAGCAAGACCCTGTCTCAAAAACAAAACAAAACAAAAGCTGACATCAATGGCTCATGCCTGTAATCCTAATTACTCAGGAGGCAGAGATCAGGAAGATCACAGTTCGAGGCCAGCCAGTGCAAAGTGAAAGCGAGACCCTATCTCAAAAATATCCAACACAAAAAAGGGCTGGAAGAGTGGCTCAAGTGGCTTGCCTGACTAGTAAGTATGAAGCCCTGAGTGCAAACCACAGTACCACCAAAAAAAAAAAAAAAAAAGTCTGTCCTAAACCAGATTCAGAATGATTTTCTTTTTACCATTCCATTATCAAGTTTTAGAATTTCTAAATGGCTGGCATTTGTATTAGCCAAGGGAATGATGCGCCCAACTCACAAGTATGCTGCAATAAAATAGCCTGAGTTTTTTAAGGTTTAAATTGTTGTTTAGATACCAGAATGGGCTACTGAGAGGGAATTGTGAAAATTCACTCCAAATTGTTACATTTTGATGATCTTGCTGAATGTCAAGGAAAAATGTCAGATGAATTCTTAAGATGTTCTGTTACCAAAGATTTCTGACAGATGATTTCTTTTCGAATTGTGCATCAGACTGAGATGTGTGCCACTCTGGAGCGACTTGACCAGACCTATTTTCTGCACCTGCTGGGCTCCTGCCCTTGATCGACATGCTCACTATTGCTACTCCCCTACCTCCCGCCCTTGTAGAACAAGACCCCCACTTGTTAGGCTGACTGGTAAGGAGAAACCCTGTGCCTGCACACAAGCCTAAAAGAACTAACAGTGGCTCTGGGTCTCAGGGACATCCTGCAAGAGTCAGGTGGCACAATCCATAAGTGCAGGAAGTGCCATGGAGTACACTTCCGCCATCATGAAACCAGCAGAAGTTGTGGAAGTTAGGCCAGCTCCACTTAGAGAATTCTCCTTTCCTCTCACTTCACATCCCTGGGATTGCATATACCATGCCTCATCCAGCTCTGTTTCCAGGTAATCTGTGTTATGACCAATAATTACCATTTTTAACTGGCAGGAAAAATGACAGGCTATTGATTATTTACTTATTTGTGGGACTGGGGTTTGAACTCAGGGCTTCAGGTATTCTATCACTTGAGCTATACCTCCAGTCTATTTTGCTCTGGTTATTTTTGGAGATGGGGGTCTCATGAACTGTTTGCCAAGCTGACCTTGAACTAGGATCCTCCCAATCTCAGCCTCCCAAAGAACTAGGATTACAGATGTGAGCCACTAGTACCTGGCTAGGTTATTGGTAATTTAAAGTTAGCTTCTCTACCTACCATATTTTTTGGAGGTAATTTTTCCTTTCTCAAATGTTACCAATGTAAACTATTGTGGTTATTTGAGAGTTTTCACTTTTTTCCCAGTGTTTGCATTCTGTCTTTTTTAAATTCAGTCAAATTATTTGGAATTATGGTCTAATTATAACTTTTCTAGAACATGTAGCTTACCACAGACATTCAACAGACAATAACATGAAAAATAATGTGAAATTTGTGTCACATTAAAATATGATACATTAAAAATAATTCATAACATTCACAGAATGGAGTAAATATTTATCTGTCAAAAATAATGAGATCCTTATATAATTACCACCAAAATGCACTGTTAAATGAAAAAAGCAAAAGACAGAACAATGTCTATAGCATGTTACCTTTTGTGGCAAAGTAATGAGGGGAAATAAAGAATAGTCAGGTCAGGTATGGTGGCCCACATCTGTAATCCCAGCTACCCAAGAGGTTCAGGCAGGAAGACTGTAAATTCAAGGCCAGCCTGAGCTACATAGTGTGCCATTTTATAAAAAAAAAAAAAAAGTAATCATAGCCCTACCAAGAGTAGTAATGTTACTATTATTATTTAGAATCTATTGTAGATGAGAAAAGCACACAAATGTATTTAATGTAAATTTCTATGACTTGGGAGCCTTCAGAAATGAAAATCCAAAGAAACAGGAAAATCTGTGTGTGTGTAAGATACACTTGACACTTGATGAAGATGTGGATAGTGGGGAGGAAGATGAGTAGATTACCATTCTAGTGATAATAAATTGGGAGTCTTAGCAAAGCCTTTTTGTTCAAATTCTTCTTGGCATCTCTGTAGCTTTGAAAATAGAGGCATTGCTATCCTCTGCGTATAAGGAGGGCACCTTTAGTGTTAAGATATTATAATTTCCTTTAGAGGAAGGTCAGCTTAGTCTGTTTCAGAGAAGAAGGGAGAAAGCAAGGTAAGAGTGACTGTCCTGCTTTTGCTATTTTCTCAAATGCCAAGGTGCCATCTTTTGGAGTAATACAAACTGAACCCCCATCACTATTATATGTGTATCTTAGGCTAAAACAAATAAATAATTATGCTAATTTCATTTAAAACAGCTGGGCATGGTAGCTCATGCCTGTAATCCCAGTTACATAGGAGGTAGGAAGATCATCATCCAAAATTGGCCCAGGCAAAAAGCAAGAGACCCTATCTGAAAAAATAACTAAAAGCAAAAAGGGCTGGGGTGTGGCTCAAGTGGTAGAGCACTTGCCTAGCAAGTGTAAGCCCTAAGTTCAAACCCTAGTACCTTGAAAAACAAACAAATAGAACTTTTCAATACACATGAATATCAAATCAATCAAGTAAAAATTATGTGAGCATAAATTTTGAAAATGTAAACTTGTTTTCTTCTTTAATGAACAACAACAAAAAACTCTAGGAGTTGGGGATATGGCTCAATATTAGAGCGCATGCTTAGTAGGCACGAGGTCTTGGGTTCACTCTCCAGCATGAAAAACAAAAACAAAAACTCTATCAGCCAAAAAGACCTAGAAATATAACAATATAATAGTAATGAGAACTCTAATGCTTAATTTGTGGTCTCAAAATACTATTCTTCACTAAAAAGGATTAAGCATCCATGAAGAAATGTGGATTCTGAGTTTGGAGTATAAACTCAGCAAAGTAAGACAGAGATATCTTTCTTGCCAGAAAGCAAAGTCATCAAGGAAGATGTCTCAGGCTTACAAGCCAATAGGAGTTCCATCAAAAGGCCATAGAAACCAACCTGAAAAGGACCCCCAATGCCTTCAGAGGGCATTTTGATATCAAAAAGCATAATGACTGCAATAGATTAAAACATGTGTCTGTAATTGTAAAATAATTCTAAACAAAGATGGTCACTTGGGTCTTCTACTGTCCAAACATTTTACTCTGAATATTGATAAATAAGAGAAAATCAAGTATTTTAAAGATCTTTTTAACACAAATTGTTTCTCTAGGGTTATCAAATAGTCAATGAGGGGAAAGTTCTCCCTCATGAATGAATTCAAGGTAATAAATGCAGAAGAAAGAAAAAAAAGAGAAAAATCACTCTCATGCAATCCTGATGCAATGATAGACCTAAGCAAACACAATCACCAATGGGTGCTGAAGTCACTACTTCACAGATTGACCAGGAGCATTGCAATGAGTACCACTGGAGGCCAGCAATCAATCTAATTAATCTTAGCCTCACTAGATTTGGGACATGCATTATTTTGCACCTTCTCATTTGATGTTATAGGAAGTGCCTGGGGTTCTTTGTTTTGTGGTGCTGGGGTTTGAACCCAGGGCCTTGTGCCTGCTAAGCCAATACTTACCACTGAGCTACATTGTCAGTCCTGGGACGTATTTTTAAAGAATACATCCCAGGAAATATAATTAAGCCTGAACTAATCAAATTTCTATATCTAAAACCAAATTACAAGAAATACAAAGGACAAGGAAGTTAAAGAACACCACAGGAATCAAACACTCAAATCAGAAAGGACAGAAAACTCTAACACATTTCTCCATCAACAGCATTGAAAACGAAAAGAATTAAAAAGCAATAAAAGACACAAAAAGAAATGTAATGTGTTAGATGTTGTTTGGAATCTGATTTGAATACATCAATCATAAAATGACACTTCTGAGACAAGTATGACATTGGAATAGTCTAAGAATTTAGATTTAATTGGCATGGTGATTAATTGCAGTGAGAGATGCATTCTAAAGTACTCACAAAAGGAGCAGTGTAATTTCCAGACTTGCTTTAAAATACAACATTGATTAAAATATTAATAATTGTTTATGCAGGTCAATGGCTACATGAAGGTTCATGCTTGTGTTTTCAAGAGTTTTCTGAATTTAAAAAAAATAGAAAAATAACAATAGCTTAAAAATGCATTCACACAAAATCC